AATTAAATTCCAATTTTTTTTGTTCTTTTTGACTGAATTCTTACTTTTTTATTTTTAATAATGAACTCTAGCATCAATAAAACACACTTCAGTCTTCTTGTGAAGCTTCCTTTCTTCAAGAATTGTGACTGGGAGGGTTGAATATGTAATTAATAATGATCCTCTGAACACATATTTTCTACCCCAGATCCTCAAAGTGTTTTAAAAACATTAATCAAAGGCATCCCCTCAGCATGAAATCTACATTTAAATCATTTTAAAAATCATAATCCTCAATGTAACATCTGCTCCCAAGTTCCAGTGTTGATGTTTGTGATTTTACAGCCACACTTTCCTATTTCTTTTAAAAATATTTTTCTCTCCCCTGCGGCTGTGTGAAAGGCTGAGGCAAAACAGGGGAAATAGACTATTTATCCAGGGAAAACAGTGAAACACACACAACTTAAATGGCCTGATTCTTTCCCATCCTTACTCTGGTGTAGAAAACAGTTTTATTTCTACATCTGACGAAACCATCATTTTCATAGTGAAGGAAAAAGAAATGTTTGTTGCAGATTGTGAGAAATTCAGATCCACTGGGTTATCAGATGTAGATTCCCTTCTTCCCTTCTCTACCTGCATGTTCCCCAGCATCCCCTGCAGTATTTCACTTCATCATATAAACTGCTGTTAGCAGTAACAGTTCTGGAAGCTGAAGTAGTCCAGAAAGATGTCAGAAATGTTTTTGGTACCTCTGCACTAGTTGGATGGGTCTGAAAATCTGGTTCCTTGCTGCACAGACACAACTCACTGCCACTCAGAGAGAACTTTCCTCCTGACTGTTTCCACCTGGTTGTGTATATTCGTGAGTAAGAACAAATCCTTGCAAGAACACGGGCATTAAGGAACACGTCAGCACTGAAATGGGTGTGCTGGCTCTAGCCTATTAGATCACTTCACTCCAATATCCAAGGAAACTGTCCACTCCGCCTGCTCAGTTTACAACAGCTGCCCATTCTTTCATTAAAAAGGGATCTCTATGATGTCCACAAATGTAATCTTTAAGATGTGATGATATCCTCTACAAAAATAAGAATAAAAATATCTATAAGGTTATCAGACTACCATTCTAAAACACTGGAGCAATTGTGAACTTTATGCATGGAATGGAATAATACAAGAAAGAGAGTGAGAAAGTAAAATCCTGATTGCATCCAGATGTGAATTCACAGTAGTATTTCTTTTATCATTTCACAGAATCACAGAATCACAGAATTGTAGGGGTTGGAAGGGACCTCCAGAGCTCATCGAGTCCAACCCCCTGCCAAAGCAGGTTCCCTACAGCAGGTCGCACAGGTAGGCATCCAGGCAGGTCTTGAACATCTCCAGAGAAGGAGACTCCCCCACCTCCCTGGGCAGCCTGTTCCAGTGCTCCGTCACCTCACTGTAAAGAAGTTCTTGCGCACATTTGTGCAGAACTTCCTATGCTGCAGTTTCCAGCCGTTTCCCCTTGTCCTGTCTCCACTCACCACTGAAAAGAGTCCAGCCTCGCCACTCTGCCCCCCACACCTTAGATATTTATAGACCTGGATCAGGTCCCCTCTCAGTCTCCTTTTCTCAAGGCTGAACAGACCCAGTTCACTCAGCCTTTCCTCATAGCAGAGATGCTCCAGGCCCTTCACCATCTTCGTGGCCCTCCGCTGGACTCTTTCCAAGAGATCCTTGTCTTTTTTGTACTGGGGTGCCCAGAACTGGACACAGTGCTCCAGATGAGGTCTTACCAGGGCAGAGTAAATGGGGAGGATCACCTCCCTCCACCTGCTGGACACGCTCTTTTTAATGCACCCCAGTAAGCCATTGGCCTTTTTGGCCACAAGGGCACACTGCTGGCTCATGGCCAACCTGTCATCCACCAGGACACCCAGGTCCCTTTCCGCAGGGCTCCCCTCCAGCAGCTCATCCCCCAACCTGTACTGGTGCATGGAATTATTCCTCCCCAAATTTTACACATTTTTTTTTCACAAAGGGAAACTTCAAAGTTTGTTGCAGAACCTAAGTAATGTACAAGAACTGCTCCAAAATTAATGCCTCCTACTTCGCTGTGTTGGTCCGTTACATCAGAGGCAGTTGTTGGTGGGATAGCAGGAGAGGTAGAACCTTCCCACCAATGTCCCATTACGTTTTGTTGTCATTCATCACATGGTAGCAGAAGGGAAGTCTAACAAAATGGCATCTGATATGGCAGTGCGTCTGAAGAAAAGGTGTGCCATTGAATTTTTCCATGTGGAAAAAAATGGTGCCCAGTGACATTCATTGACACTTGCTGAACATTTACAGAGACCAAACAGTGGATGTGAGGACAGTGAAGCAGTGGGTGATGTGTTTCAGGGGTGGCAGGAAGGACAAGACGTATTCTGGATGGCTGTGCACAGCAGTCACACCTCCAAGTGAGGAGCACCTTGGTCACCTCATCCAATAAACCAGCAGATTATGAACAGGAAACTGTTTACAGAGCTGAATACCAGTTTCAATCTTTTGGAAACTACAGTTACAACGTTGCAATATCACAAAGTTTACCAGTTCACAAATGTTCACCCAGGAGCAGAAAGCACACTGTATGCAAGTTTGTTGAGACCTACTGAACCAAAATGAGGCTGAAAATGACAGTTCTCTGTTTCACATCATAGTGGTGATGAGATATGGTGTCACTACACAACCCAGGGTCAAAATGGTAGTACATGGAATTCCAAGTGAATTCCCCATCAAAGAAAAAGTTCAAGACAGCCCTCAGTGAATAAAGTGATGTGCAACTGTCTTTTGGAACAGGAAAGGGGTGATCCTTCTGGATTTCATGGGGCCCAGACAAACCATCTGCTCTGACCACTGCATCATGATGCTGACTAAGCTGAAGGCTTGACCTTTCAGAACTGAGCCAAAGAAGAAGACAACCTTCCTCTTGCAACACAATATTGCCAGGTCCCACGTGAGTTTGAAGACGATGAAGCACACTGCCAATCCTGGCTGGACTGTCCTACCATGCCCACTGCATAGTCTGGATTTGCTGCCTTCTGACTTCCATCTATTTGGGCCGACGAATGATGGACTTCATGGATAACGTTCTCCTAACAACATCATCACCACCATCACAGCAGCTGTGAAATAGTGGGTCACCTCCACTGGTGCAGATTTTTGAGAGTGTGGCACGCAGGCTCTTGTTCACTGCTGATGAAAATGCATACCTCATGGTGGTGACTACATTGAAAAATAGTGTAGCTGAGAATTTGTTCTATCAAGTGGTGCTATTGTGTTCTTTGTATCTGTTGTAGTTTCCGTGGATTAAATAGGAGACATTACTTTCAGAGTGACCTATGTATAGAGAAATGTTTTTGAACATTTCTGAACGTCCAGTATTGTAATTTCCTAGAGCCTTTTTCAATTGTGGTTTTCTTTTCTGATTTGATTTTATGAAAGTCCTATTCCTTGAGTCAAGCTATTTGATAATCTGTTTTCACTGCTTTTAAGGGAGTAAATATCTGGGTAGCCACTGATCTGCTTTCAGAGAAATATCCTGAAAGCATGGTTTATCATAAAAATTGTGTACTTTTTAATAAGGCAAATTAAAATTAAAACTTTTTTTAACCTTTTCATCTTGCTGCCCAAGTCTAACTCAAATTGTATTTCCGTGGGTTACTGCCACTACTGCCACAGTGTTCTTCTGTGTCATGGCCATTTCTCTTAATACATCTTTAATTTTCCTAACAGCAAAATGAAATGCTATTTATGATATATGCAAGTCTGAAAGTTCAAGAGCGCTACAACAACTACTAGGGAAGGACTAGTTAAAGATTGGCTTCCCATTAGCCAGCGGACAAAGAGTGGAATTTAAAAGACAGACAACCACCATACTGTCCATTTGCATCCCAAATGAAAGCAAAGAACACCTGAAGGACAGACAGGTCAATTCAACCTGGCAATGAGAAGGCACAAAATTAAAATGTCATAAAACCCACCCATATACTATCAGGAATTTTAAAAATGTTAACAGATGTTTTTGCAGACGGAGCAAGTTTCCCTGTCTGCACATCCCACAGCAGCTGGAGCTGCAGACACTCCAGCACCTTCACCATGGTTAAGAAGCCCAGACAGCCCGAGCTGGGGGCTTGGATGCTGGTATCCACCTTATGGCATGAGCTGCAAGTACAAAGTGGGGAAATATTGAGTATGGGTCTGCCACACTCTTGAAAAGTAATGACCCCCATCTCCACAAGGCATTTTCTCATTTCTGGAAGGAAGATCTTTTCTCTGGGACCTCAGCATGTATCACTGTAAGAAGATATAAGGCTGGTGACCAGCTGATAAAGCCACAGGCTGCCTCAGCATGTCTATGGTAAAGAAAGATGTTATTTGTGTGCAGGCCATGCTTAGTGTCTTCCTACAGAAAGATAGCAGCTTTTCTCTGTGCTTACTTTGGTTCCCAAAAGCAAGAACAAACACCGAATTTTGATTTCAATAGCCTGGTCTGTAGCAACTCTGTGGCTTCGTATGAAAATAAACATAGCAAAAGGCATACAAAACCTGCATTGTGTATTCCATCTGGTAAACAATGTCTTTGGCTCACTGACACCGACTGGGCATGACTCCTCTCAAACTACACCGAAAGAAATACCTCTGGTATTTGTTGTAACATTAGCAGTAATGCCTTTCCTTGAGTAAACAAAGCAAGTACACTGAAAAATTACAAACTTCGTCCAGGATCAGAACGAATGCACACAAGATCATGAAGAAGAAATCATACAGAATTCCAGAAAGGGTCTGATGCTGCTATTGAATACGTGGACGAAGATTCTTCCCAAAGGCTTGTTTCCAGTGACTAAAAACAATATTCAATAGTAAAGAAAAAGGCTATTGTGGGAAATACAAGGAAGATGGTGTGGAAGGCCCTAAGATAAAACTTAGTGAATCCCTGACATGGGTTCAGCAGATACAGCAAGGACAAAAATGGTTCTTTGTGCCAGGCCTACCTTTGACACAGGCTTGCACCTGCCCATACCACTCCCCACAGCTGTCGCAGAGCAGCGTGAACGCCGTCTCCTTGTTGCCCATGATGTACCCCTGGGCACAGACGTACAGCAGCTCATCCCCCATTTCAAAGCCGGTGTGGCCATGCAGGATGGTGTGAGGGAAGGATGGAGGGTCTCCACACGGCTTGTCTGCAAGGAGAAAAGAAACAAGGTTGTAGAGATCTCTCAGTGGTCTTTAAATCCAGTGCTGAGCACGTGGCCAAAATAGCAACCTGAGGACAAACCTACAAAAACCAATAAATCTCATCTGATTCACACTCCTGCACTCCTTCATTACTGTTTCCAATAGTAAATTGAAATTGCAATTGGGATGGTATATACTGGGCTATGACTGCAATGCAGTAACTGCGACAGATGTTACTCATGTGCAACACTGACACATCTAGAAGGGCTTTGCTTCCTATCAGTCAGCCCAGATGGTCAGGCTTCACTGCCTGCTTCTGCAGGGGCTTGGGTAGGCTGGGACTGGAAAGCAAATGCCTGGACAGAGTAACTTCTGCAATTGCTCAAGACTGGTACTTTAATATCCATTAGATGGAGAAGTGACCGAGTCCCTGTCACAGGAAGGAAATGCCCAGAAGGACAAATCTTCTAGACATGCTCCAAATCAAAAGTTTGTCCTCAGAGACTCCATTTCCCTGTAAGAGACTACTAACTTGTAATAAATGGTTACTTGTGCTCTTCAACTTAACAAAACCCAGGGACAACTTAGCTTTGCTCTCAGTGAGCTAAATTTATCACATATAAAATCTGATTTTATTTAATAATATTTCTGCCAACAGCACCAAAAAGCAGGAAGTAAAAATTATGGCAAATGGTATAAAAATGGTTTTCAGCTTTTTGTTCTACATATTAGAAGCACATGTAGGGAGTAAACAGACCACTGTCAACACCAGCACAGACCAAATTTTAATTCTCTTTTTAGGTTTGAACTGTCTCAACCTCTGCTAATAGTGTGAGTTGAGGTCTTCCAGAGAACTGATAGACACTGCAGTTTCTCTTCACTCAAAAGTCTTTGCCATGACCCCTTTTTTCCCAGACTTTTTACCATCTCTTTTGCAATACACATCTCCTGCTTACAAAAAAAAAAATAAATAAAATTAAAGAGTAAACAACAACAACCCTCCAGTGCAAAAAACCTGGTCTTAAGAAGAAACCCAAAGTCTGCAGTGTTGGTAAAAATAAATTTTTATAATATTTTTCAAATCTGGGACTTTTTCCATTGATTCTAGAACACTTACTGACAGTAGAAGAAAAAACCCCAAGTACTCCATTTGCCAAAATAACTGAAGATTCAAAAATCTGCTTTTGTCCTGATACAGAGCAGCAAAAATAAAGACTAATAGGCAAAAGCTCAGGAATCTTGATAATTATACAGGATATGGGAAATCTAGGGTTGGGTCAATGTCCTAGTATTGATCTCTCCTGTACCCTGTTTGCTTGGATACAAAAAGCTAACTATTTAGTTGACTATGAAAAGGTTATGTTCCATGAAAAGACTTTTGTTTGGAAGGTGAAAACATGACCTCCAAGACTATGCTCCTTAAAAAGGGAAATGTTTTCAGAGAACACCTCTGCTGCTTTACTGAAGCCTGCTTTTGGGACAGCATCTACATTGCATAGTTGTCGTCCTAACAACAACAAATGAACAACACTTCCATTGATACCACTTCATATTCACAGCTTTGAACGAGCAATAGTTTTGACTGAAAAGAAAACACGCTTTTTTCAATCCAAATTCTGCACAAGCTCAGACTGTCTTGCTAGAGAGCAAGCCTCACCAGCACCGTGGGCATCCTGCAGGATCCCCATTGAGTTCCGGAGTCCCCACCACCTACATGCTTCATGTAAATAAATGCTTATGTAGAAATATGATGTGTTTACGTTAACCGTTATTTACCTCATAATGCAATGATAAACATCCACGCTCTGTGAAAGTTCTTTTCAGTCAGGGTCTTAGAAATTGATGGCTAACCACATCTCCGCTGGGTATTCTGAACAACATCTGCCACTAATTTAAGGGACACACTACTGAAGTCAGAGCTTTGAAGTCTATTCTCCGCACCGTACACACACATATACTGTCTAACACCTTCAGAAGTTAGTGGGAGTTATGCACACACACACAGACAGAAAAAACAAGCTCTTGAGGCTACACAAAGCTCAGTTTATGCACAGTCTTCTGGAGGTTTGGCATCTGAGGAAGTGAGGAGTAGTTAGCAGCTAATGCGCTTCCTGTGAGCCAGTAGGATGAATAGAGATTGATGTGGATGAAAGGAGTAAAAAATATTTTATTGCCTCATAGGAAGGCTACAGACCCCTGCATTTCATGTACTTTATTTATGCAGTCACTTTCATCTGTACAAATGGGAACTGTGTATCTGCTCTGAGGGAAGTATTGGTCCCAAGGCTGTGAGGGACAAATATATGTCAGAGAGTATTCTTATCTACAAAGCCTTGCTTGTCTGTTATTTGGCCAAAGGAAGCAGAAAAATAACACACTGACTAAATACATTTACCTTATGTCAAATACATTTAAAAAGCATGTTATAATCTTCCAGGAAAGAAAGCAAGCTGAAGGGAGCCTTACTGTACAATCCAGCAATAGATGTGATCACAGTGAAGAATGAGATCCTGAAAGAGAGATCAGGCTGATGTGTAAATGGAAAGAAAAGGAGAAGTTCATGATATCCCTGGATGAAATAGTGTATGGAACTTTTGAATGTCTCGTATGAGATGTTGGAAGGTAGTGTCTTTGCTGCAGAGCATACTGTGTGACAGAGCAGACAGGACTAAGGGGCAGCCACTATCCTGCAGATAAACACCAGTTCCTACATTCACGTGGCTGTGATCCTCTCACGTAAGAAGTATGGAAATTCTCAGAGCTGCATCTTACAGATCTTCACCCTTCTGCAGTCTCAGTTGCCATGACAATTCCTTCTCAGCTCTTCATCAAACCTGCTTGTTCTGCTACAAGCACAGGAGATACTGGCCTAGCAGCCCATCAGACTGAGCCATATCTGGGGACATGCTTCAGGTTTTTGTTTGCAGCCTGTGTGCCAGGAGGTGGCAAATCATGGATCAGTTTGGAAGAACAGCCTGTGCTCAGTGTTGGCATTTGGGCTGGGAGAGAGGAGGGAGATCAAGGCCACAAAGCGTGGCTGGCAGCAGCTTGTCATTTGGAGGAACAGCAGCGGTCTGTGTTAGTGTGTCTACAGAGGTTGCCTGGAGTACTGACTGTAGTAGATGAGGATTGGGCTCCTCCTGTGCTGTGGGAGTGCTCTCCATCCTGAGCATTGCTTTTTGTCTCCTCTGTCCTCTCAGTAACCACTGACTATGTTGGTGCTTGCTAAAAGATAAGCCCAGTGCATGTTTCCAATTACAAAAAGCCTGATGTGCCCTATTATATCCCCTCAACACTCCTGCCACATGTAGAAGACCTCATTCTCCCCCCACTTGTGCAAGATTACGTGTTCAAACCTGGAAATCCTGAGTCCATTACCAGGTTTCACGGTCCTCACAGATACATGGAAATGTGCAAGTATATGGAAGAAGCTCCTGTCAGCAGTAAAAAACTGTCTCCAGGAGTGACAATCCCCACCACAGTCAATGTATATGACTGGAATTCAGAACAGAGGCAACATCTAACAATTGAACAGGAATTAGTGGTGCAGCAAGAGTGTGACTATTCAGCACAGATATATTCACCAGGGCTAGTGATGATTCTGGTGATGAACATCTCAAGAGACTAAGCAGCTATTTTTTTTACAAGGGATACAAGGGATTTAACTCACTTCTCATTAACTGATTTAGCAGATTCTGTCTTGATTGACCTTAGGGAATTCTGGCCCCTCTGAAGAGGAACTTTAATGTCAAAACATGTGTGGGAAGGAGCTTGTGGCAGATGATTTCTGGCAGTCAACATGAGACACTTCAAGGAAATAACATCCCTCTTCACTACTCCAGAAACGTTTTCTCAATTTAAACTACAAGTAACTCATCAGTTTGTAAAGATTTTTAGTGATGCTTTGATATAATACTGTCTAGAGAAAGGACAGCCAATTGGGAAAAGGAAAAAAAACATCAACTCAAAATAGATGCAGACTTCTGCTTCCACGCCACCTGGCAGAGCTGCAAATCTACTGAAATCTGATTATCTACAATGGCTACTTTACCAGTGCACCATGCTCTGAAAGCTGACACGAAACATCCTCTGACATAAAACATTCCCTTTCACAACCGTCCAATTCAGCAGAGTTTTTCTAAAGAGACCACTGGAATTCATAGGATGTCATCTTGTCATTAAGAAATTGGAAAACACAACTCTTAGAGCTCAGCGCTGTGAAAGATGAGTGTGGATGTTTGTTTTTCTTCTTGATTGCAGAGACACTGAAATCTATGGAATTTTTCATCTTGGATAAAAATACTGAGTGCAAATAAAGTACAAAAATCAAACATAGCCAATGTGAGTGCCGCTCATAAGCTACTGATGTTAGGATGTCAATACCTCATTCATCAGATAGGGCTAGTAAAGACTAACTTCATTTATTGGTTTAAATGACATCACCAGGTAGCTGGAAATTCACTGTCAGCTATATGCAAAGCTCTGGAAAAGAAAGCTGTAGCAATAAAGTAAAAAGAAAAAAACTCATATCCATAGGAAATCATGATAAATTAGAAGAAATGGCTTAAATACAAACCAAATAGTAGTTTGATTGCATGTTTCTTTTTTTTTTTTAATTCTTACTGCTGAAAAAGGCAAGCTGAAATATGTACATCAGCCATCAACTTTTGATGGGTATCTGGAGCCAGCAGTCCTGTTTAACAAAGTTTGATTTGCATTTATGCTGTAAGTACTACAATTTGTGGCCTGTTTATTTTTTCTATGATGGCAGAAAATCAAAGCCTTACAGAACAGAGGACTTACTTGTTCCCTATAAATACCAGTTGTCACCGAAAGAAAGAACCAGTAAAACTTGGAAAGGATGAACAAAGAGATCATTCCTTTGTTGCATTAACAAAAAAAAACAACAAGAAAGATCATCACGATGATTATATACAATTAAAATTGAATGATATGCTTTCCTGAAAAAAAAAAAAAAGTGCTAGTAAAAAATTCAGTCTAGTGTTTTTCTGTTGTTTTCTTTCTTTTATACTTACAGGTGTTTGCTTGTGAGCTTTGAGAACGAATGCATGCTCTGTGGGCCAGGTTTGACTTGCATGTTCAGACTTCACTTTTAGAAGAGGCACTCTACCATGTTTTTAGGTAATTTTTGGCACTTGGAGTTGAGAGAGAAACTTGCTGATCTCAGAGATTGCAAACGAGTATAGAACTGTCTTCCTAGCTAATGGCTGCATGAAACACTTGTTTCTGAGGAACTGAGGAGACAGGCAATTTCTCTGCATTATGAAAACTACAGCTATCCTCACAGTATTCATAAAACACAACAGCTACATTCTTCCCTGCAAAACATAACTCCTAGTATCAAAGGTTGCTGTGATTCTTTACTGTGTACACAATCAAATTTGTTCCAAAAGCATTAAGAAGTTGTATCTGTCTCCTCAAAATTTTTATGTGCAAAAGCCTGATCCTGTACACATATGACCACTGCCCCAACTGCTGGGGCACACCGAGGTATATGCTTTGGCAATTCAGCTGAACTCAATCATGGACTAAATGATAACTGACTAAACATTGTCAATCAAGGCCTAAGAAGGCAATTTTGCAATGACTTGTACTTGTTTCATGGTGGTTTGAGATGCCCTTTGCATAGCTATAAGGTCAGAAAATAGGGCTGTTAAGAGTCATAATGGATGTCACTTCTGAAGATGGGAAGGCTGATCTGACTGTTCCCTCCACCTGCCCTCAACCAGCCCCTCTGTCTGAGCCTTCAGCTGACTTCAGTCAGCTTGGACAAAGAGGGAGAGCTGTTGAGTTTCTGCTCAGCTTGGTAAGATGACTTTCAAAGAGGAAAGATGCAAATCCAGGCATCTTTTCTATTGGCATTTGCACAAAGTAGCGTTCAGCTCTTAACCTTTCCCACAGGCAATGCTTTCTGGCTATCAGATCTGAGTGCAGGTGGGTGAACCAGGTAGTGCCCATGGCTGTGGTTGTGATGGGAGGTTTGCTATTGCTATTTCTTATTGGATAATTACTTCCTAAAACTGAAAGCAGCATCCTCAGGCGTATGATATTCTTTTGTCATTCAACTACTTCATGCTGTCCTGTATGTTAGTACACATTACAGCTGTGAGTGATGGCTGTTTTCTTTCTGGACATTGATCTGTTCACATCAGCTATGGATTGGGTCTTCCACACACAGCTTCACTTATGACTTCTTTCTCAAACATCAACTCTGCATACTGATTTTTTTTGTGTGTGCGTATAGTCAAAGAAGAGGGAGCCTTACTGTCATCTGGAAACATTTCTGTATTTAAGTAACATTTGATGAGTATGTTGGCACGATCATCCCATTCTGTCACTAGGGAAACTCCCTGCCTTGAACAAAATACTTGCGAACAAGTCTCTTTTTAGCAAATGATCTGATTCTTCCCCCGAATTTTAGCTGTGCAGCGTCTGGGTATTAAGTGGGACTTCTTTCCAACAAACACAATCAGATTCCACTCTTATTTTCACCACCTCCCCTTTACTGCCAGCAGCAAACAAACACAAAATGCAAGCACAGTTCCTTTCCCATGCATAAGGGCAGAAGCAGCAGGTGGAGAAGGATAGGGGAGCATAGGATACAATGGGACAGTGGTGCTCACAGCATGACTTCAGCCTGCCACAGCTGCCTGACCCTTAGCAATTATTTTCTCTTTGGGTGGATACTGACAAAAGAGAGATTTGAAGGAAGACAATGAGATAGTTTTGCAGATGTTTACGGAGAGCTGCTCCTATATGTGAGAAAGCACAAAGGTGCTTGTGTGACAGCATTAACAACTGGGTGACAAAGCTGGCATTGCTAGTAGCAGCACGGAGCCTGAAGCTCATAGCACGGTGGTTATCTGAGAGGGTGGCCATCAAACTCTGCAATGCTTGAATGACAAGGTGTAAATCACCTCTGCCACATTTCGCTTCAATCGTATCTTCATTCTCTCTGCTGACACTCTTAGTTTAGATGTCCTCACTGTATCATGAGCTTAGCATTTCTCAGTAAAGGCCATCTGCTTTCCTTGAAAAGAAACGCAAAACTTCACTGCAGACACCAATAACTTCCTTACACAATTCTGTCTAGCAGCAACAGTTCATGTTTTGCCTTTGGACTCTGTTTTCCCTTGTGCATTCCAGCATCTCAATCCCAAATTTTAAGCACCAAGTTAAACTGGAAATAATTTGGCTTTCAGAATCACACCCATGGTCCAGACTACAATTGTTAACAAAATAACTAACAAACCAAAAGAAAATGGAGGCAATGAAGATATTTGCACACAAGTACTGTATATAGACAGATAGGCAACAACACAGTGTTTTGTGGCTGGAAGCCAGGTTTCCAAATTACATTTAGTTACAGTGCTGAGTGTGGGAGATGCTTCGGGTATATCAGATAAGTTGGTGCCAGATATATCCTTTTCCATAAAGAGTGTTCTTTGAACTCCAGAATGGTCTCTTTCAGATCAGCAGTGCTCTTTGAACTTGCTAAACTGTAGCAAAGACAAATGGTAATGCAATTTATTCCCTGCAACCAATGTCTTTGTAGCAGTTTGCTCTCCCAGCAGGAGATTACTGTACAGATTTATTCCTTAATATCCCCATTTTGCCTCTCAGCAGTAGAAAAATTGAAGGCAAAACTTCTAATGTTTCAAGACAGTGATTACTGTGCATTATTTCAATAGTATATCAGTGCTGACCTTCATCCTTTACACAAAAAGCATCATATTGGTCATTCACAAAGGGATCGGTTTCAATTTTAACATCAATGGCTTTCACGCTCTGTTGTTTGCTGCCCGTCTTTCTGCATATTATTGTCCTAAAATAAAGAAGAAGAAGAAAAAAAATAATCAGAAATCTTCTGGAGTTGTACATGCAGATGAAGTTTGGAGATCTTTTAGCACAGTAGTCAGGCTTTAGCTTTCGCCTTAGTTTAATTGTTTAAGAGTTGGCATATAAGGCATTAGTATGGGAAGACGTATGAAAAAAGCCAAGGGAGAATTAGAAGTAATTAAAAAAATGCTCTCTGTAGATCAGTCCAAGGCATAGGAGGCAATAAAGGATGCTTATCATATATTCTGTAATGCTTCTAAATATCAGACCAAGTCCCAGTGTATTTAAATCCATGTTCTGCACTTGTATTTCAGTGATACAAATTCTCACCAATGATACCTGGATAAAAAATGAGTGAAAGTCTCAAGACTTGGTCTGAAAGATTATAAATCACTAGTAATAAACTTATGCTTGCTGCATAAGTTCCAGGTTGTTTTATCTTATTTGTTATTTTAATCTGCTGCACAGCTGTGACTGAAAGCATTTTTACCTGTTTCACTTTCTCCATTTTGAAAACAGAAACAGCAATATTTAGTCCCATACTGAGCTGTAGCACCCAGTTCTGGTGCACTAGGGATGGCGTAGATGCATAGCCAAGACACTCTGCTGCCAACACAAAAAGTAACTGGCAGGAACTGACAAGACAGGAATGCTGCATTCTCTAATTTCAAATCACGCTCCTCTGACAGGTTAAACTCTCTTAACTTGTTGTTACATTGCAGCCTGAGAAAACTCATCTTGAGTTCTCAGGAATAAGCTGGCTGTTTGGTTCATTGGTAGGCTGGATAGTTGGTTTCACAGTTTTTCCACTTCTTCGTCTAAAATCCATTTCTTCTGGTTTGGTACTCAGCAGTACTTAATCCATCCTGTTGCCTTTTTATAGGCTTGAACAAAGGTTAAAAAATTGTATTTAGTTTTACAAGTCTGTAGATGCTGAACATAGAGGAGGAGATTATTAATTATCTCTTCTTTCAGCTGTGTTGGCTGCTTAAAACTTACTAATAAAAGACAGTTTGTTAGAGAAGACACTGCTCTTATTGTTACACTGAAGGTTAGAAAGGCTGGGAAAGTGAATTCAGCCCCAATTTTTGCAGCTGGATATTAATGGTGTGGGTTTTATATTTTACAGACAGCAGGTCTGTAGAAGCGTTGCATGGTCAGCTCCTCTAGTGAAAGCAAGACCAAAATGTTTTCCACAAAGCAATCTTTCCAGTGGAGGAAATCTATCATTTCGTATTGCGCAATGGTCAAACTAGCTTTGCCAGCAGTCCCACACTCATTCTGGATAATAAAATAAATGTTGACTAACTGCCCATTTACTGAATGTGGAAAAGCTCTAGTAGAAAGCCAGTATTTGATCCCATACTTAAATAGTGCATAACAATTGATTTACACAAGTGGACTAAATTACGATTGTGCAGACCATCTTAATTCCGGCATATGTTGGCTCTTGAGCTGTTAGACAGGCAACTTTAATGTGCTTTAATGCAAACAAACAAAAGCAACATGAAAAAAGCCATATGGTACTGGTCATGCATAAGTACCAGAATGGTTCCTACCACACTTCTGCTCTGAAAAACAACATGATGTAATCCCCTACTAAAAGCTGCTCTGTAATTTCAAAGCAAGCATGTTTCTTTTATAAGGAAAGCACCTCCCGACTTTTTGTGGGTCACCTGAAGACTATATTGTCTACAGGAGTTTAAAATTGAGTTCTCTTAGAATTTAATGTCATTCTTTAAGATCTGACTTCAAGAGTGCCGCCGAGCATCTAGACAAACTCGTTTGTCCCAGTGGGTTTAGATGACTTGGACAATCAGTCTGTTAATTGCAAATTTTTGTATGTGTTCACATATTGTCCCAGTAGGTCTTTCAAGGCATAAGTGAATGAAACTGACTTAGCAACCTTAATCTTTCCAATGGTCACTTACTCTCCTGTCTTCCGACCTTGTTTATGCCTTGCAACCCTGAATAGACAGATAATGAAGTATCTTTGAAAATCTGGATCTTTTGCTTGTAAGACTTAAGACTTTGCTTGTACTTCAGACTTCAGCCCTTTTAAACAACAGCACAAAAATATAGTTGTTTTTATGTTACCTGCAACCCTGTCTGCTAAAATCAGGTGATATTTCTTCGCATGTTCAAGCATGGAATAAAATTTCTGATATTTAGGATCCAACTTTAAAAATCCTTCTTAAACATTCTGATTTTGAATTTCAATCTCTAGCAGTTGTATTTTGCTTCTGCCCAAAGCACCATAATTTCTGTATCATTCCTTCAACAGGCTAAAAAGTTTTCTGTGAGTGACACATCCTTATTATCTTCGTATCATCACCAAACCAGGGTATTTGATTCACATTTAAGACCACGTGTTCAAAGAGCATGATCTTCTTTTTTGCCAAGTATTGCACAGCAAATTACAAGTTTGTAGGCAATAAAAATAGAACACAATAAGTGGCTAATTGATTTTAAAGCATTTCTTTGATATCCAAGTACATGAAGATGTTTCTTAAGTATGGTTTCAACATTACATATTAAAAAAAGACTTTAGATGACGTCAAGATCTCCTAATGCAGTTCTCACTGTGTGTCTTTTTCTACATGAAGCTTTAAAATTGCTCTTCCTATATTTTTTTTTTCTACAACAGAGCAGACCTTGGCTAATCCGCCACTTAGGAATTTAATTTGGATTTTGTCATATTAAAACTGATCTGATTGAAATAGAAAACACTCTAACGTAATTACTCCAAGAGGAAAGAAAACATGCCCTGTAGACATAGGAAAAAAATAAAAGAGGAAAACAAAATCTATTTAATGTCTCCTATTGCTCCTTCTCTGTCAGTAGTTTCCTACCAAAGCTCAATCCTGCAGGCTTTGAACATCTTCCATAAGCTGTTATTACCACTGCTAAAAGGAGCTTCAGTAGTGCTCAGCATTTCTCAGCAGCAGCTCTAATGATTAGACCTGCAATGCCTTTGGCACTGAAACTGTGTCTTTGCAGTCAGTAGGACTGCAGGCACAACTAAAAATATGCAATAACAGCCTCTTTTCTCAGAGTTCTTGAGGGCAGGTATGTTTCTCCAAATCTGTAAAATGCTGTAATCATAGATGAAAGATGTAGGTACACTGTTGTCTCAGCTCTCACAAGTAGGTTTTGATGCTTTTAACTTTGTCAATTGCTTTCATTTGATGACTGGAAAATGGCAAGCACGTTCTCAGTTCAGAATTCAACATATGTTGACATTTGCTTAGCAGCAGCATTGCCATACTGCAATAAGAAACCAATAAATAGGTATTATTCCTATCTACAGCCATCTCTTGTAGTTCCAGCACCCTGGTGAGAAGTTGTGGAAATGCAGATTCTAGTTGATTCTTTATCATTTTGAATTGTTGCAGTGCTGCATTATGCATCATGGTTGAGAGAATGCCACAAAGCTTATATTTTTTTGTAGGAAGGCATCCCAAGCACCCAGACATTTAGAAGAATGTAGTCATGTAGGGAATTTTAATTCTATTTATTGCTACTTTCATGGAGTAATTGAACATAAACTTCTACAGAATTGCTCATTCCTCACCTTTCTTGGATGTGTTATAATCTGCTACTTATAGCAGTGTAATGCATGATTTTGTATCTCATATTAAAAAAAAAAAAAGTGATTTAATTTTTCCTTCTATGGAAATTTTTATGAAAGTAACATTTCAGACGTGCTTGGAAGAAACTTATTGAGTTCAGAATGCAAATCATCCATAATAGTCTTCTATATTAGATATATATCTACCTGAAATACTCATGCATCTCCAAAAAACTATTATTGCACTGCTGTGAACTCTGAAAAACTCTCACAATGACAGCATAAAAATCAGCCACACGTGTATGCTGTAAGTATCATACACTGTCAGGAAGATAAATATCCAGACACAGTATTAGCATCTTACTTTTTTCATGGTTGTGGTGTTCTCAAAAAGTTTCCTAGCTTGATTCTATTTTTTGATCTTAAAAAATTGAAAGAAATTGTTTTGCCTTACACAATAATTTTATGAGAAATCATTCCTAAGATTTGCTTTTACCTTATCTTGCAAGTTTAAATGAGGACTGAAAATCAAGGCTGCTTTGAAGATTAAAAGAGTCCCATGTTTTACAGTTAAGAGCAATTATGGTCACCATCTTCATATAGAGGCACTGAACTCACTTCAGCAACAACCATCACATGAGAGTTTACCTGTAGGGCATCATTGGACAAAAGATTTCACCTGTGTTGACAACAGCCTCTGCTGTATGATGGAAAGCAGAAGGGCACCTGATGGTGTTTCCTTTTGGTATCTTGACAAGTAGAGCCAAAATCTAATGAGGTTCTCCTCAATCTACCACTACTACCACTTAGCCTAGATAGACAATCTGCTTCACGGTGCCTCTCCCCCTCTCAAGCAACAGTGCAAGAGAAACGACGGGGACGGGGACTCCGCACTGTTTTGGACCCAGCTTATTTATTTCTGGGCAATTCATCCACGTAAGAACAATTTGTTGTGCTTGCTCAGTATCCACCCTGAAGGTAAGACCAGAGGATGGTGAAGGTAATTCAGATACTGCATTTAGCATATGTGTATGAGAGGAGAAAGTTTAACATTTAGCACAAAGCGGGAACCAGATTTTCTTTAAGTATTCCACTTGCATTTGCCTGGTTACACACTTTTCTAATCCATCTACTGAACAGTGAGCTATTGGTATATTTTGCATTATTCCCAGTTCCTCTGCACAGGGAAGGAAATAGCAGAAGAGGCTGATTTGAATACTGTTTATTCCACTATATGACATAATATGCTATTATCTAATAAACATCTAATTAAAAAACTGCATTTTACATAAATAATAAATTATGGCTATACTAGTGTCCACTGGTACTTCTGCTTTCTAATATTATTGCATAGCAATTTTTTGTAATACTTGAAAAATTTTCAGTAAACCTAAGTTCATATAGATGGAGTTAAT